CCCCGCACGCCCCCGCCCCCGGGCGCCGCCGGCGCGCAGACTGACCATGTCCGGGTCGTTCCAGCGTCCCGGGCCGGCCGCAGGCTGCAGGACGTCCTGATTGTTGAAGAACCAGTCGACGATGCTCAGCACGCTGGCCCAGGAGTCCTGGATATCACCGTAGTTCCTCCACAGGTTACAGATCTCTCCCAGCAGCGTGTAATTAACCTGCAGTGTTAATTAATCAATTAGTCTACACTCCAGTCATGGCACCTTCTCTCTCACGGTCTTATCACCGAGACACACCCCACCCACACTGGAGAAGGAGGCCAAAAGCACGAGAACTGCCTCCGTCGAGCAAGCTCAGGAAGTTGATAGATGCAAAAAGCAATAACAGACATCTACGGGAGCCAATCGGAAGAGGTACCTTGGGAGGAAGCCCGCCCTGGTAGGCGGGCCAACTGCAGGAATAGCCAATGGGGCGGCCGGTGGCAAGGAGAGCCTTAGACATCAGTGGGTAGCCTTTCAGAGGGAGGAGGAGAGACAACACACGCAGAGCCATGAATACTGCTGTATACGCAGTCACGTATCACCCTAGGATCTATTAACTTTTAAATCACCCTCATTGTATAAAAGGCATCCCTATGTCCTGCACCAGAGTTAGCCTCAGTTGTTAAGGGTGTCTGTAGGGTCTATATTAATCTCTGTATTGAGGTTTGTATTATCTTTGCGTGTTAGGGGTCTCTCTAGGGTCTGTATTAATCTCTGTGTGTGGGGTGTGTCTCTAGGGCCTGTATTAATCTCCATGTATTAGGGGTGTCTCTAGGGTCAGTATTAGGGTCTGCATTAATCTCCATGTATTAGGGGAGTCTCCAGGGTCAGTATAAATCTCCCTGTGTAAGGGGTGTCTCTAGGGTCAGTATTAATCTCCATGTGTAAGGGGTGTCTCTAGGGTCAGTATTAGGGTCTATATTAATCTCTGTGTGTGAGGAGTGTCTCTAGGGTCAGTATTAGGGTCTGTATTAATCTCCATGTATTAGGGGAGTCTCTAGGGTCAGTATTAGGGTCAGTATTAATCTCCGTGTGTAAGGGGTGTCTCTAGGGTCAGTATTAATCTCCATGTGTAAGGGGTATCTCCAGGGTCAGTATTAGGGTCTGTATTAATCTCTGTGTGTGAGGAGTGTCTCTAGGGTCAGTATTAATCTCTGTGTGTGGGGTGTGTCTCTAGGGTCAGTATTAATCTCCATGTATTAGGGGAGTCTCTAGGGTCAGTATTAGGGTCTGTATTAATCTCCATGTATTAGGGGTGTCTCTAGTGTCTGTATTAGGGTCTGTATTAATCTCCGTGTGTAAAGGGTGTCTCCAGGGTCAGTATTAGTGCGAGTTGTGATTTTCCCACGCTGACCGCCTCACCCAGCTCCTGCACAGAGGCGTTGGAGTAGCAGCCGTCCAGCTTCAGCATGTCCACCCCCCACTCGGCGAAGGTCTGGGCGTCCAGCTCGATCTTGTCCAGCGTGGTGCCAGGGTAGCCGCCGCAGGTGTAGGTGCCCAGGTCGCCGTAGATGCCGAGACGCAGGCCGCGGTCGTGCATGTAGCGGGCGAGCTTGGCGATGCCCCCGGGGAAGCGCTTGGGGTCGGGCTGCAGGCGCCCCTGGGCGTCGCGCTGCTTGGAGGCCCAGCAGTCGTCGATGTTGACGTAGACGTAGCCCAGCTCCCGCCAGCCATCCTCCGCCAACCGGTCTGCCATGTCCATGAAGAGTCTCTCACTGAGAGAGAGAGAGAGAGAGAGAGAGAGAGAGAGAGAGAGAG